CTATCTGTGCTCTGCCCACCATGGGTATCGAAACCCGGATTCTAGCGTCGTGAGTCCGTAGACATACCGCTGTGCTACTGGGGGCATTTTGGTATGTTAGACAACATGATTACATCCAGACCTACCAAGTAAAATTTATTACACTTCTGTTCTTCTCATTTACAATTTTTATTTTAATATTACAGGAAACAATCAACACGAAAAGAGCAAACCTGTACAGTCAATACTATTATACAAAATATTTATCATAACTGGTGATAAAAAAAAAAGTCAATCTGTTTATCTGGATTTTTGATAATTACACATTACTTAGACCACTTTTTTCTGCTTGTTCCAAAGCAGCTTGTAGATTTGTATCAAATAGTTCACACCTGAAAAAAAAACATAAATTAATTTTTTATATACTGTATTTCAATCAAATTTTTATTTTATTTCTTTAATAAACCACTAAAATATTTTAATAGGCCTTTGCTAATAATAGTTCTTGAGTTTTGTAGAAAACATTTCAAATGTAGTACTTTTTTTTAATGAAATCATATGACTTATCTGACTGCGGTTATCTGTAGTCTGCCAAGTTACTACTGATCAGCATGCTGTCAATACAAATGTTTTAAATCATTCTTAGAAATAATAAACTATGAAACATACAAGTCTGTATAGAAAAAAATAACAGATACAAATTCAGTCATGTTGATGATTTCTACTGAATTAACTTAAACTGTCATCCTACAAAGTCAACCAGTTCATGTTTCTTCATTTTTAACTATATATTTGACTTAACATTATTAAAACATTACAGCAAGTCACAAGAAAATTAAATGTGGTATATGTACTGTGAAAATACAGTGTGTTGTTTTTCACTATTTCTGTAGACAAAACTTAAATAAGATAAAAACGTGTAAGTATTTACTTTTGAATGGACAGTCGGCTTGGAAAACATTACATATAGGTGATATTTTAGCCTTTATTGGGTGTCTTTTTCAAGTTAGAGAGGTTTTGTGAATGGTATTTAACACTGTGGAGCAAGGATTTAATTGAATGCAAATTTTAATCTGAATTCAAAACCTGATTCATACATATAAAAGAACAAGAAATTCTCACTCAACAATAAATTTGTATAATTAGTCTTAGCTCAATACACATTCCAAGTGAAGAAATGCAAGTCCTATCATTACACCTAAACGTTGAGTTACCTCTAAAGTCATACCTCTTAAGGAATTTGAGCCACCATCAAAGATACGGCCTCAAATGTACTTGCTGAGTAAAGAAACAAACTCCGGGTATTGTCTTATAACTACCAACAACAGAACAAACTACCACTTTAAAATTTTACCATTTGAGAGAAGAAATCAATAAAAGACCACTTGATATTTACTTTACCAGCAGATAAATGCTACCCAATAATTCTTCTCAACAAACAAGACTACCAAAACAACTACCTAGAAGACCTCATTAATGACATGAAATACAAAATACTGACCAAGAGCCCCTTTAAAAATAATAAAAGGCAAGCCACTAAAATTATCAACTAATCAGGGAAAGCTAAAGAGGTGTCCTCTGAAGAAACTCAATCCCTCAAACCTTTCACATCATAGTCATCATCTTTATGCTTTATCAAAGGTTCACAAACTGGACATTCCCTTAAGACCCATCCTGAGTACATTCAACTATCCAAACCATAAGACCAGAAACTTTCACTGAAGATTGTCTCATATTTGAGAGACAAATTTGGAACAACTCAGACAATTTTGTTGAAAAAATCCATCAATTAGTTAGTCTTTCAAATTCCACACTATTTATTTTTAACATCTAAAACATGTTCTCCCTCACACCAACTCAAGAAGCTCCACCAATCATCCATCAAAGACTAGAAACTAACCAAAACTTTGCAGTGTCAGTGGACTTCATCTGTTTGCACCATGAAACATAGGTCCAGCTTGGAGTGTTCTTCTATGACCAATGTCTAGCCAGCAGACTTTTTGTGAAAAACTTTAGGTCCATCATTGACTATCTCAACTCTCAACACTAGACCAACCAAATGAAAACAGTCAACTCAATAAATACTAGCCAGTCGCAAGACTTTCCTGACCTGATGATGACATCCACAAGTGTCAAAACGTTATCCACAGTTAATTCTTTCTAGAGAGACTGTTAATTCCAAAACACACACACTGAATTAACCTCTACCTCTAAATCCAATCAAAGAAATATGCATGTACAGTAGACATAAAAATGTTGCACAAATATCATCACCAAAAATTCCAAATATAAAACACAATACTGTGAAAAATTAATCACTTTAATAAAACTGTACACTTCAGAAGTAAAACAAATTTTATAGCATTAAAAAGTAAACATATTTATACGTTGAAAATCCTGCTAAATCAGAATGACTATCACTTACAATTATTAAATTCTGCCATATTTTACTGTAATAACAGTTACAGATAAATAGGGAGAAAGTACTAAAAATCTTACCTAATTGGCATTTCTAATGAATAAAATGGGTTTTTTAAAGCAAAATCAGAATAAATTTCATAAATTTTTCTCAGTAGTCCCTCTATTCCTGCTTGTTTGGGATCAGCAACAACCATAAACTTAATGCCTGCAAAAATTAATTCCAGTATGTTTAACAATTAATCTATCTTTACAAACAAATTTCAGCAGTACTTAAGAATATTCCTTACATCATAAAGTATATTTTGATACAAAAAACAAAGTTAAGAGCATAAAAATCCCATACTGATAGAAAATGTATATATATAATATAGTTGTATAGTTCTTTTGATTTTATAACAATTTTTGTTAATAAAAGTTAACAAAATCAACTAAATAAATTACAAGTACAACAAAAACAAAATAATTAAAAATATATCCATTACTACATTCTCCAAAACAACAAATGGTAAGAAATAACTCAATTTTGTAACTCAGTCTCGAGTTCCACATTCAGTACTAAGATATTTCTTAGCTCCTCTCTTAGTGTCATTTTAGTCACATTATGAATTTAAAACTGTAAGCAGCAAATTACAATTACTATTTGCTTTGTTAATATAGAAGGAAATGTGAATACTTCTTTACTGTTACATACAGGGAATAGGGTACAAGTAGTTTGCTACAAAAAGTGAATTTTACATGTAACAATTTATGATGAAATAATACTGAGAACTTCTGTAAAGCTCATTTTTAAGCTAGAAACTAATATGATTTTGTAGTCTGTTTATTGGCTACCATACTTTGATGTTGATATAGCTTTCTGCATAATATAAAGCTTGTCAAACTGAGATATTACTATAACTACTAATATGTTGAAGTATCAACTGTAAGAAGCCTTGAATTTCTGTTATATTATTTATTGCTCATTTTATAACACAAACACAGTATGCAAATCTCCACAAAAAAATTACAATTTTAAAATTACATCATAAAATTACATCCTCATATCTATATACATCTTTTACAAGATGGCTGACTACCTTGAGGTATAGGGAAGTTATGTCATATTCTGATGGAGAGAACTTTGCTTTCTATAAAAATATTTATATCCAAGTTTCTGTTTACAATATTATGTTTGTGCTTTATATTTTATTTCCCTAGCAATGCCAGTTTCATATTACAATAAAAATCTACATATACATGTGAATGTAACATATTTGTTTTAAGTTTCCTGATCCACTGTTTTGAATACTGATATTGTGGATTAGAACAACAGAAACAATGCACTTTAGCTAGTGATCACCACCAATGATCATTGATTACACAGGCCTGCAAATTTAAACTTCATAAAAGTTGTTTTGGTTTTAATAACAGATTTTTCATAATTCAGCTATGCAGATTTCAAAAATAATATTCACTTTTTTTCTCTCACATAAGGATTTTTTACAAATCGGGAAGAAAAAACCACTTACTTAGATCAAATTATTATTTCGTTTACCACAATGAACATTTTTTATTATTATGTTTGGGTTCTAGAATTATTGATAAGACCCTCACATAGTGATTGGTCTAGAGAAATCTATAGCCAATGGTTCACAACATTTTAAGCATAACAAAATGTGACCTGATTTCAATGAAAATGATTCACTTATGTAAAAGTACATATGACATTTTGTGAAAAATCTGCGGACAATGGAGAAAAATGGATATCATTTTTTGATTCACCTTACATGAATTACTTTAGAACATGTAAAAAATTTCAAGACATAAAACCATTGCATGCCTGTGTTATGTCTTCCAATTCAGTGCCAAGTTGACACTTCCCATTAAACCTAACTTGCATGTTTTTTTAATCACCATCAGTCTCCCAGTCCAGTTCTGCAATTAGGGAATTTGATAAGTAATTATTTGTCAGGCTCACTAATAAATTTCATTCAGATAATCAATCATTCTTGAATGAGATTAATCTTATTATCTTCAGGTTTTTTTAAGACATTTTAGAAACATCCTTCATTTAATATAATAAACACCTTCAGGTACACCAATTAGAGTAGATATATTTTCAGTCCTAACTATGACTTGTTGTTAATGAAAATGTATCATGTGCTCAACATGGTATGATTTTCATTTAATATAAAATACATCTTCAAGTACAACAATTAGGGTTAAGTATCAAGTTGTCAACATGGTATGAAACCTATAACAAGCTGTAAATATGATTAATTCAGTTCCATTAGTTTTTTTCCTAGACATTTTCACAAGATAATTATTGTCTTAGATTTCATGTGATAAACTAATAAAGATTCTTGTCACAGTGTATGGTGTATAATTCAGTGAACATAAATGCTGACCAATCCTTGAAAACCACAGTGAAAAAAAAAGTATGTTTTTATTTTACAGTACAGCTGGAAGAGAGACGTGTGTGCTGAAAAATCAGTAAATCAAAGCTTACTGTACTAGGTAGTGTTTAAGCAGCACATGATGATAACTAGGTTTTTGTCTTTCCTTTTCAGTGCTTCCTATCAAGCTCAAGCTAGTCATAATTAAACAGGAGTCTTGTTTGTGTAAACAGGTTAACAACTTAATGGTAATAAATACAGTTAGACTGTTATTGATCTATGTATAATCATTTCAGACAAACAAATTTAAAAGAGCAAGTCATTCAGCAATTAAAATTTTGTGAGCAAATAACAATTAATGAATATTAACTTGCCATAACTTCTTAATAAAGCAATCTTACCCTAAGTAACACTACTTACACTTGTAGCTTGTAATAAATAAGCAAATTGTTAAGTAAAACTACATACAAGATAAACACACAAAAGAGGCATAACCATAACCAATGGGCATTAGGCCACACCCTCAAATTTGTGAGCTGTGTACAAGCAGAACACATGCACATTATCAAGCTAACAACTTACATAGTTGGAATAATTGATAATAGTAATAATCACAAAGAGTAATAATTGAAAACACTAATTCTGATTATGTGATTTCTTTTCATGACATTAATCAATTATTTTGTGTGACAATGATCAATGTAATCATCACTCATAGATAATAGATGATATTGATTAATGGAATTCATTGCCACTTTTTCTATTTGTAATAATTGTTAGTATTCCAGATCAGATCTACAACAATTTTGTAACTACCATCAATCTTCCAGATAAATTCTACAGCAGCTTCATTTGTTTTTTTTGGTTAAGCACAAAGCTGTACAAGGTAGTTAAGCACAAAGCTGTACAAGGTGCATCTATGATCTATTCACCACGGGTATCAAAATCCAGTTTCTAGCATTGTAAGTTTGCAGACTGTGCTACTGGGGGGCCAGCAACCTCATAACAACCATCAGTCTCACAGAAACAAATAAGACTACATCTACAACATGAGAAAACCTTAAACTAGTTGGTGACATGAATACCCCTTAGTAACATCAGTTGGCCAAGAAATGTTCCCTTTCCTAACTTTACCAAGTGTGATTAGCTGATTATAATCACAAAATCTTATAGACATACTACATATCTCCACACAAAGTTTCCATCATTCTTCAACAGCAGCCTGCTTCGCAGCAGGAAACATGTTACAAATGATAAATAAAAGCATTTCTGATTTTGTTAAGAAAGTAACTCAACACAATGAACAAGAAAATCTTCAAATATTGGATCTTCATGTACAGAAGTTGTTTTCAAGGGGTCCTATAAAGACAATCATCATATTCATGACAGATTATTCAAAATATCCATGCTTAGAATATGGTGCAAGACCTACACGAAAGCTAAGAATCAGAATAAATTTACCACAGGAAAAGATGCCACCGTTGGTTGAAGTTCCTCCAGCAACGGCTTTTTGTTTTGGATTTTGGCTATTCACATTTTGAATCAATACTTAACTATTGATATACATTGGTCCAGTATTATAATTTGTATGGAAGAACTTGTTATGTTAAAACTACATAAACTCCCTAACCCACTCTTGTACAAAACTATAACTTTATAGTTTATGTTTACTATTCTTCACTCTAATTTAACTTCAAAATGCTTGTTTTCTTATTTTGGGGTCATTCTTATTGATTATACCTGTTGTAACTCTTAAGAAAATATTTCAACAAATCTTTTCTGACCAACTAATTACAAGTGTATTTGCTTTAGTTGTATGTCCTGAAACATGTGTTTCACAATCTACTAACATTACTCTCTTGCAGGCAGAGACCCATAATACTCTAACACATGGAATTTATGCACTTTTATTTTGAAGATGATTATTATATTTCACTTAATAGTTATAAGTACTTAAATCCTAACTTGATCCAAAACATACAAAACATTCTTATAGGAAAAAATGTAATACATATTGTATTATGTATAAAAGAATTTGAAAATAACCTTATTTACACTATTGTTTATTTGTTTGAAGTTAAGCACAAAGCTACATATTGGACTATCTGTGCTCTGCTCACTATGGGTATTGAAACCCAGTTTCTAGTGTTGCAAGTCCACAGACATACCGCTGTATCACTGGGGAGCTTTACATTATTGATGAAAATCCATTATTACATTATTATCTAAATTCTTTTTAGTTCCCACAATAAGTAAATTTAAAATTGCACCTAATAAAGGAAAAAAAAAAGACTCTCCCACTTAAATTTTCTCTACACATCATACTTAATTTTCAGCATTAGTTTCATATCAGTTGCTTTATGCCTAACTAAATATATAGTTAAGTTTCAGCACCCAGTAAACAAATAAGAATTTGAAAATTATAAAATTGTCAAGTTTCATTCGCCTACTGTTTTTACTAGTGAAAATATGAAAACACAGAAAAATCATTAACTCACAAACTTGAAAAAAAGAAATAATATTCTAGGCAGATTTACCAGTAACAGTCTGAAAGCAAAAAAGCTTGAAAGTGTCTGCTTCAAGCACTTCTATCCCTGAAGATTTGTGTTCTGGTGAGAGTTGTGAAGCAATAGCAAATAGTCTGAAAAAAAAAAGACATTCAATTGTTAGTTTTCTGATACATTTGCAAACTGATGCAATTTTTAGTTGATCATGTCTTGATTTAATTGGAAATTGCAAGAGGTTAAAGATCAAGCTATGCTCATAGTTTATAAGCACCATAATTTGACACAAGTAACAAGAAATGTTGCTGTTATTCTTGTAACATTCAATAATGAACTGATAATTTTTTACTTAAAATGTTGTACTAAACATGCATGTCATACTACATAAGAAACTTATTTACTTCAAATAGTCTACAAATATATTATTTTAAACAAGTGGATTGTGTGCTGTCCATTTATTGTTCGAATTTATTGCCAACAAGTCACAGACACCTACTGTAGATGAATCCCAGCCCATACACATAAAACCCTGACAATTATTTGATTTTCCTTAATCAGTTATATGGCCAATAAAACACTTACTAATTACAATGTGCACTAAATAATCAGCACATCCATAGAACATTATGATTTTTTCTAATTAATTTCAATGAATACTTGCACTCAATAAACACACAGTAATTTGTTACAGGTTAATTAACTCTGTTTATATGTTGTGTATACTTAAATAATTATCACATATTTTTCATTTCTGTAGGTCAGCTCATAATAATGCCATCATTAGGTGTGATGGAAGGTTGCAAGATTAACAAAACCACCCCATTTTTTTAGCTGTTCTTCATGTTATTTCCAGTTTACAAAAGTTAAGAATAATCTGTTTGGAAACTTATGTTCTACTCATAATCTCTGACAATTTTTTATTGTTTAAACTATAAAATAAAGTGAAAACTGTAACATAAAGTTTCTATTTAAATCTAAATATAATTAAACTCCATCCAAGTACTTTGTTATGACTGATCAAAGTCTTTTAAATGTACTTCCAGTACCTGCTTATAACTGGATTTTGTTGCTAATTTGTTTTCTTACCTTACAAAAAATAATGAAATATCGATTGGTCTAGGAAAGGGCCATATGAACAATACTTGATCTGATTTGTAGATGCAGTGCTAAGATGACTTAAAAATTCATCTAACAAATTTAGAATTTGATTATATTTTTGAATTCAAATGTTAGCTACATATACCATTAGTAATACTTCATTATTTCAGGTAAAATTATGAACTTTTTAATGATTACTCTTCTAGTCACTAATCATTTGTTTTAAAATTTTAAATATAATCAATTTGCATAGCAATAGTTGAATTTAATCAAAATGACTTTGAGTATTGTATCATATTTCTAATTATTATATCAATAAATTATGATTAAAAATAGAAAAAAGGCATCTTAACACAAGAAAATAGTATATAAATGGTTTTTCTTTAAAAAAATCAACAACAAAGGAACAATCTGTGATATTAACTGAAGAAAATTATTCAGGTGTTAACTTGCATCATTGTAATGTATTAACTTAGTGCTATGGCTATCAATACTTCTCACAACACCCAAACATAATATTTTCATTTATAAACTTTTATCTTTTGAAACTTAATTCTAGCACAATGCATTTTTCTATTACCAAATGATATGTTATACTACTTCTGGGGTACATTTGTGCATTTTTATTGCAAGTTAATTTATTTTACCTTAAAACACATCAAAGCTTTTGGCCTGGTGGCTGTTACTGCAACTATACAGACTTTGAAGTACTTACGAGTGAAACATACTAGCCAGTACTATTTTTTCATTTGTATTGAGTTTTGGTCGGCCAAATTTAATGCTGATTGGAAAGTTCTCCTCATTTTTTAGAATTTCAAATATGTCTTGCCCATCTTCCAACTGCCGGCCATTGACTGGGTTCCCATTTACTGCTAGAACAGTGTGACCAACTGAAAAAAAAAAATATTTTTTTTCAGTAGGTAAAGGTTTCATTACATGTGTGATTAAAAAATTAGGAAATAATAGTTCAACAGCATGACTGCTTTTGTCAATTTTTAGCATTTTCCTTAAAATATATTACCACACACGTATAAGCTTGAGGTCCTTTTAAGCCTTGAACCAAAAATTTTATTGCTATTTAATATGGTGAAATGTAACACTGTAATTATAAATCATATATAGTTCTTAAAATCTTCAATGGTAAGGAAAAAACATAACAGAGACCAAGGTGACAGAACTAAATGTAGCCCTTCATATTCCCACAAGTATCCAACAAATGTTTAAAATAATTACAGCTTATAACACACAACAACTACTAGGCAAGCTATTTTATTAGCTTTTAACTACTATTTAGAGTTTATGATTAAAAGTAAGCTAATTACATAAACCAGTGCTAAAATATTTTCAAAGAAAATATAATAAAAACAAACCTGCATATTAAACTGACTACGAATGTATAATGTTACAAATCAATATAACAACAAACTAAAACATAATGTGATTAGAATGCATTGAATCATCATTTTGGTATATCCACTGACACTTTGATACTGCTAAGAAAGTATCTGATTGTCATCCCAATGACATCTCATAAGGTGTAGCCCACTTGGGTGATTTAGATTAGTTCTAAATCCATACATTAAAAATACAATACAAAATAATCTTCATAAAGGAAAATAGAATGTTATCAATAAAAAACTACATTAATACTTCAATCATTTGCTACTTAAATCCACAGACTTTCCAAATGCATGATACAATTATATACTTTTACAAGATTCTTGTACTTGTAATAGTGAACAAGCATCACCTCAAGCCAATGGTGAATTAAACAAATGCATATTACTCTTCTATTTGGAGAATTATGCCTATGTTCTGTTACCAATTCCTTAAATATAAGTGACAATAGCATATAATTCTTCTAAACAATGCAAGTGACTAATAACAATTTGTTTTTGGACACTGACAATGTCATTAGATATCCATGTTTCTTTCATTTGCAGAAAATAATTTCTTGGCTTAATAAATTGATAAATATAATACTTTTGATATACTACTTGCATGCAGTGTATATAGACAAGTTTTCAGAAGCCAAAGCTATACTTCTGGCACACAGGTCTTACAGTTAAGGAGAAGGTAGGCAGATGTCACTTGCAGAAACATTCCTTAACAAGTGAAATAAATAAACCTAACAGGTGCATTCCTAAGTAAGACTGTGATAACATACTTGTCAAGTTCATTCCCTTACAGACCTGGATCCTTGCCATATATAATAACATTCAAAACAGACTCCTGAGAAACCCCTATTTTCATAGTATCCCAATCAACTGTATGAAATACTTCACTATAAATTCAAATTGAGTTAAAATTGTTTTCTTCATTGTGATTATTTTATCAATACTCAGACACGTGTAAAACAAAAATGCTAAGTGCTTTAAATCACAGTCAGTGACAATGTGAGCAGTAATTACAAGTAAAAATAAGCTGTCAAAACATAAAAGTAATAATACTGAACAAAAAATACCATTATCTGCTTCCAATAGGATGCAAGTTTTAAGGCGCTCAGAATGCTTAAGTTCACTGACTGGCAGGATGATATCCAGAACCAGGCCAAATGCACTCAAAAACTTTCCATAACATTTTTTTGTGTGTAAAAAATGGAATATTAAACTCCAAAAAAATAGCATTTACAATGAAGCTACAAATACAATATATACTTTACTTGGCTGAACTTCTAATATATCATTATTAATTCAAAGTCAGCAAAACATGAATTTCAGTGAAGTACTCAAGTAGGATAAGTACAGAACTATACAACAAAACCAAATAACATAGTTAATTTTTGTTAGACTAAATCTAAATAATGTTAATTTAGTGCTGATACCACTAAAAGTAGTGTTACTACTATTAGCAGTAGCACTTAGTTGGTAATGGTACTTGGTAGCTGTAGAAATAGAATGCAACTTGCAAGCCAATGTCATGTAATCTCACCTCTTATTCCATCCCTCTGTCCAAATACTACTGTCACTTTCTTGTTTTGATAATCCAAAGAAATTTCCAACGGATAACTAAACGTCTTTTCCACTTCAATTTTTGGAGAATTTGGATTGTCATATTGATATATGAGACCACCAGCTTTACTAACAATGTATACACTGATGATCGCCATGATTAAAAAGCGCTACCTGTTGATAAACCTTTATTTTGTTTTTTAAAAATTGTTTTCAAATTTTAAAGAAACTTCGATAACACAGTGGTTCAACAATGCAGAAAAATTTCTTGTCTCGTTGAAATGATACAACTAAAACCCATAATGGTAATACTATGCGTTAAAGTAAAGCTCCCAGTTCATAAATGATGGAGTAAGTTCAATCTTTAGAAACAGTTGAATTGTGATTTAGTTGGGGTGTAGGTTGTGTTTGGTAGAACTCTTGATCTCGGAGCTGGCGAACCAGGTTCAGATTATTAGATCCATGTGATACCACAAAATATTCAACTCACTTTAAGCTGTAGGTGCGTTGTAAGAGTGACACTAAATGGGTGGTTGATTGCGACTAGTCAGTATTTCAAAATTCATAGTTCTGAATTAATCTGTATTCCTAAAACAGGGATGGCACCATAGTGCCTTAAAATACCACAAATACAAAATGATTTAATTATCTTATAATTTTACATATTTTAAAAATATCGTAAATAAATGTGTTTGTTTAATTGCTGTTAAGCCTGAAGCTGCACAATGAGCTATATGAGCTGTGTCAACCACAGGGATTGAACTCTAGTTTTAGCGTTTTAAGCCTTCCAGCTTACCGCTGTACTACTGGGCAACATTATAAATAGAGCTCAATTCTTAAATAAAAGATTATTTCCGCTTTCAGTTAGGCGTGACCTATTGGCTATCTTACTGAACTGTTAATCTAAAAGCTCAGAACTTGTGTCCCGTTGCTACAAAATCATCCTGCACACTTTGGAGCCATGAGTACATTATGAGAATGACAACCAACTCCCACTATTCAATTAGAGATGGCCGGGGATGCTATTGACTAGCTGCCCATCAGTTCAAAATTACGGAAAGCTGTACAGGTAGCTCTTATATAGTTTTGTGCGAATATCCAAAACACACCGATTTTCGCCCATCGACAATATAACTCCGACACTGAAACTGTTGTGTTTAGCTTAATGTGTAATTATAAAATCCTGAAATTAGGCATTTTTCCTACAAGCACATTATCAGCTCTTCTTGAATTTTTTATTTTATTCACAAGATTTGTTTGTTTGTTATTAAGCAAAAAGCTACACAATGTGTTATCTGTGTTTTACCCACCACAGTATCGAAACCCCTTTTAAGCTTACCGCCGAGCCACCAAGGAGCTGTTCACAAGGAAATGACACAATTTAATACTTTGATTTTAGTTCTATACAGGAATGGAATCGTACAGTCTTACAAAAAAGTTTAAACACACGCTGAAAATACTCTGCCACAGTGGATTACAGTTTGTTCGTTTGTAATTAAGCACAAAGCTACACAATGAGCTATCTGTACTCTGCACACCACGGGTATCGAAACCCGGATTCTAGCGTTGTAACTCCGCAGATATGCCACTGGGAGCGCCACAGTGAAAGTAAAGTTTTCTCTCTAATTAAAAACGTTTAGTTGATGAGTAAGTGACAGGCTGAAGTTACGATACCAAAAAAATAAAGTCTTGCATAATAGCATATAGTGGAAAACTCAATTATTATGTCTATTGTATATATTACTCAATAAAGTAGAGTGAAAAATTATTGATTTAATTAAATCTTTCCCCCCCCCCTCTTCCTTCAGTAATGCAAGCCTGGCGGTTATGTTGCTCTACATGTAATTTGAGGGTGACAGGATCAAAACCCGTCATCGAATAAGCCCACCCTTTCCTGATGTTGTTGTGTGGCGTTGATCACACTATTTTCTAGTAAATTGTAGCCCAAGTGTTGACTAGATGCCTTTCCTCTAGTCTATCACTTCAAAATTAGAGAGGACTAACGAATATAGTGCTTGAATAGCTTTGAGCTTAATTTAACAAAAACAAAACACACAATCAAATCATGTAATACGAGAAACCATGTTGCAAGCAACTGATAATTTCAAATTCCCTTAATTATTTGTAATGTTATTGTTTCTAAATTTTCATGCAGGTATTCTGCCCATAGTAATGACATCCTTGCAAACCAGATGTCGAAAGGTTGTAAACAGTGACATACATTCACCGCTATCTCTTAACTTCTAGGGATTTGACTTTTATCTGTTTCCACTCCACACCCTGGGCGCTACAAGCAAAGGGGGACCAGGGAATCACTTGTCCTCTGGATAAAAAAAATTATGCATTTCCCTAGTTATAGCTTCGATATAATTTTGTCATCTTGCTCCTCTTTGTAATACATGCTGCGGATGCTCATGGGTACAAGCACATTTCGTGGGATCACATTGATATTTGTAGAAATAGTATGAGACTATCACGAGTTGCGAATTTGCTCTCGCGCATATATCATTTCAAATAGTCGTTGTCGTAAGTAATATGTTTGTTTGTAATTAAGCACAAAGCTACACAATGGGTTATCTGTGCTCTGCCCATCACGGGTATCGAGACCCGGATTCTAGCGTTTTAAGTCTGCAGACATACCACTATGTCACTGAGGAGCAGAAATAACTTACAATATGGTTTTTTTGTTATAGATTTCGCACAAAGCTACATGAGGGTTCTCTGCGCTAGTCATCCCTAATTTAGCAGTGCATGACTAGAGGGAAGGCAACTAGTCATCACCACCCTCTGCCGACTCTTGGGCTACTCTTTTACCTATGAATAGCGGGATTGACCGTCACGTTATATCGCCCCCACGGCTGAAAGGGCGAGCATGTTTGGTGTGACGAGGATTAGAACCCACGATTCGCAGATTGTGAGTCGAGCACCCTAACCACCTGGCCATGCCGGACCATAAGTAATAGGACACCTTAGCAGTGGGGGAGGGGTGGGGTGGCAATCCAAAATTTTTTGGTGTAAAACAAGACATCTTATATTCAGGTGTAATTTTAAAGGGACTTGTTATTCCCCCCAAATTTTAGTGTGCTAAATTACACTGAGCCAATGTTGGCTTTCAAAAAATACTTTGTGCTGAGTTTTGAAGTCCCAAAGTACTCACAGACCTTGGAAAGAATATAGAATCAGAAGATTTTTGACCATTTTTTTTTGGGTGGGGGATAAAAAAATGGATTGATGAATAATACTGTTACGTCTCTGTTCGTTTGTTAATTTCCCGTAGAAATTCTTCCCGAGAAACTTCAGCGATACAAGTCCTTTCTTAAATAAAACTAGTTTATTCTTTCTTAATACAACTTTACAATACACTTAATTTCCACAGTTACTTTAACTTCAACACACGTTATAATTCATAACGAACGATTCACGTACTTTAATTAATACCGCGCTTGACTCAATTATCCGTCTCTATCTCTGCCTGTCTGCAATTCTATTCCGATTCATTGTCTGGCGCACTTATATACAAGAATAGAGGGCGCCTAGCAAATACTGCATTATTCGTGACGTTCCCCGATTTTTCTAAAACTCATTACGTGTTACCAGCGTCACGTTACTTCCTTAGTATTGTTCGTCCCAAACAATAACCACTTACATTAAACCAATAGAAAATTAACAATAACTTAATTAAAAGGACAGAATTTACAAACACAAAATTAAAATTCAACAAAGTCTCTTAATTTTACGGGACGTATCTTCTTCCGTACTGGTCTCCGTCTCGTTGGCTTCTGCTTCAAGTGGGGTTCATTTGCTTCATCAGGAAATGTCCTATCATCGGTAACAGTCACATCAGTGGTAGTAACTTCATCAAGAGCTTCACCGTTTCCCTTCTCCAAACTGAGTAGAGTTTCTTCTTTGACAGTGGCTTCTTCAGGTGACACGTCTTCAGCAGCGTCATTTGTTCTGTTGTTCACTTCGTCCCAACTGAAATGTCCTGGACCGTGATAGCGCCAAAGCCTGTTGGCATGCACCACTTTTGGCTTACCTAGCCGACCACATTTTATCCGGAAAGTCACGCCCGAGAGACGATCCACTATGTCATATGGGCCTTCCCATGGAGAAGACAACTTAGGAGACTTCCCTTTGGTCTTCCTGGGATTATACAACCATACCTTGTCTCCTGACACAAAGCTGACTTCAGTAGATCTCTTATCATAACATAGCTCCATCGAATCAGCAGACGTTTTCAAGTTTGAACGCACTTGATGGTGAATATCACCCATCCTTTCCGATAACACTTTCACAAACTCTGACACATTTTCAGGCAACTCTTCTTTGCTGGAGTGTATCCAGTGGTTTCATGCTCTGCTGTCCTATAGGCCATCAACAGTGGAGGGAGTAAAACATCCCAGTCATCTTGGCGACTATTTCAAAACTTTGCCAATTCCATTCCAATGTCCAGTTGTACTTTTCTACCATCCCATCGGACTGTGGGTGGAGTGGCATTGTCCTGGTCTTTCATATGGTAAACAACTTGCAGCATTCATGGAACACAGCTGATTTGAAGTTACGGCCTTGATCTGAATGCAGTTCGTATGGCATACCAAATCTGAAGAAGAAATCACTAATAGCCGAAGCTACAGTTGTTGCTTCCTGATTTGGTATTGCATAGGCCTCAGGCCACTTGGTGAAATAATCCATCACCACACAAATGTACTGTTTCCAGCAAAAGTTTGAGGCAAAGGACCAGCAATGTCAATGGCTACTCTCTCCATTGGTGCACGAACTTGATATAACTTCATTGGAGCACGTCCCATATGCTTGGGTCCCCTTTTAGCACAACATGTACTGCAGGTCCTGCACCATTCTTCCACATCTTGCCTCATACCTATCCAGTAAAATCTCTGTCGTAGGTGACTCAATATCTCCTTAACTCCGAGATGTCCTCCTGTTAAACTATCATGGGATTGATGCAGCACAACTTTCCGTAACTTTCTCGGTATAACCGTTTGCCAGGTCGCCACTTTCCCATCTCCGGAGAAGAATACCATCTTCAAGCTTCAACTGGTCCAATTGTGCCCAATAGTTCTTTGTCACATGACTTAGACTAGACACCTTCTCTCAAGCAGGGCGCAAAACACTTGATTTT